GGGGGGGAGGGGGGAAGAACGCGTGAACCCCCCGCGGCGGCGGGCTGCAGGGAGGAAGCGCCTGGGGGCTGCAGGAGGAAAATAATAAAAATAAAAAAGCGGGAAAAGAAAAAGAGAGCGAAAGGGAGAGAAATAATAGTAATAATAACAAAAACGCGACGGTTTTGCGCGCCCCCACCCCGGGCCCGTTCCCAACTTGGCGAAACCGGAGCGCAAAGCGCGGGCGGCAGCGCCCGGGGGCGGCCCCGCTCCGCTCCGCTCCGCCGGGCGCCGCGGGCGACCCCGGCCCCGGCCCCGGCCCCGGCCCCGCGGGCGGGCGCTCGCGCAGCCTCCGCCGGCAGCGCCCCGGAACGCAGCGCGCCGAGCCCCCCGTTTACCTCGTGCTCCCAGTGCCCCCCGCCTGGCCGGAGCCGGTGGAAAATGCCAGGAAATGGAAGGGAGCGAGGGGAGCCCCGGGCGGGAGCGGGAGCCGGAGCCGCCGCCGGGCCCGCGGCTCCCCCGCTCCCCAGTTAAACAGGTGTCCCCGCGAGCACCGGGGCTCCTCTCGCCTGCCCGGGAATTATTTCCTCCCGCCGCGGGCGGCAGGAGGGGGCTCGTCCAGCGCCGCTTGTCCAGCCCGTTCAGGGCGCCTTTTTCTCCCACTCTTTTTTTTTTGTTGTTGTTCTCCCCCTCTTTCCTCCTCCTTAAACACCGAGGCAGAGACAAAGCTCATCAAACGCGAAGATGCCCGGAGTTGTTTGAATTTATTGCAACAATCACTTACCATACACATTTCCTGTGTGGAAGGATAAGCATTCAATACAACTCTTTAAGTAGACAGTTCCTAATGATTTCATTGTGGCCAAACAGATGTTTTTTATGTATTTAGATCTGAAGGTGAAGATTTTTTTTTTTTTTTTTTGCCATGCTTCCAGCCTATTTACAGACTTCCCTGCTCTAGAGCTGGGGTCGCTGGTTAAAAGAAAGAAAACGCTGCAATTTCGCGATTGCATCGCTGGCTGATCCAGAAAGTTTTCTAAAGGACCTAMGCGAAAACAGGTCTAATTCCTTCCACCTCTTCTGGCCGCCCCAGCTTTGCCATTCACACGTGCAGTAATTTTAGCTCATTCGTTGAATAACGCTGAGCATTTAAGCGGACACTCTACCCCGGTTTTATCCGCAATAATAAAACCAGAACAACCCGCGGGTGAGATCCAGGCGTTTGGTTCCTACCTGGAAGTAGCCAGGGGCAAGGGAGGAAAATCTTTTAGGGATGAAGGACCCGAGGTGGGAAGAGGATGTTGTACAAACTTCAGCCTCGTCCAAAATTACGCTAACTGGCAACTTAGGAAAGCGCCTCTGAAARAAAAATAATTCAGTCTTCGATCGGGAATCGCGCGGTTTTGTCACGGCTTAAAACTAAAGTTCACACGAGCCCCGCGCTAGTGCAAAAATGAAAGCTTCGGAGTGAAGAAAATTACGGGCTGTTCAGGGGATCTTGAGCGCACAGAAACCTCGGGGGGGAGAGGGGGGTGCAAATACTTTTACTGCAAAATAAAAGCCTCGGCTCGGGTATTTAAAAAAGATGGGGGAAAAGAAAGAAAGAAAGAAAAAAAAAAAAAAGGCAGGATCCGTGCGCGGCGCGGGCGGCAGATCCGCTTGTTTCCTCCGCCAAAGTTTTTGTTTTGCAGCCGCCGGGAAATGAAATTGTCGCTGCGCGGAGCGGCGGCGGGGCCGGCGCGCGGCAGCCCGGGCGCGGCGCGGGGAGGCAGCGGAGCGGCAGCGCCGGGGGGAAAGATCCCTGGCGCTGCCGCTGGAAATAACTAGGGAGAGCGCGGGCCGGTCCCGCACCTGCCCGCGGCC